ACTGAGGCGGGGGACCCCACACCTGTTTCGCGGGAGTGGCAAGGAAGCACACCCCGAGCGGTGGCCGGACAGACGGCAGCCGAAGCGTCTGGGGGCCTGAGCCTCGCGTGTCGGCTGTGTGCTCGCCGAGCCCCCTGGGTCCCCACTGGCCGAGGCGGCGACTCTGTGGCTCTGGCCCACCTGCCGCCCCTGCGGCTGCCAGCCGGGCTCTGGGCCCCTCCAGCGGCCTGGCGCCTCCCAGCTCCGCCCCAGGCCCCGTCTCTAGGCCGTGCTTCCCAGGCCAGCTCGTGGGCCTGTGGCGGGGAGCAGGGAGCAGTCCCCGTGGCCTTCACAGCGAGGGGGCCGCTCCCTCCACCCCAGGTCCCGGTCATCCCGTCACGCTGCCCGCCCCTCACTCCCCATTCACACCTGAGACGTGGTTTTCAGGACCCTCGTCCTGGACCCTGTGGGGTCCTCCCTCTGTGTGGTGGTCTCTGATTTCTCATGGGGTCAGAGCCAACAGCTGTCATCTGGAAAGAAAGGGGGCCCCAGACCCCACCGACAGGGTAGGTTTGGTCTTGGGACCAGGGTGCCTCTCGACTAGAAGACGGGCCTCTCGTGGAGCTCAGCCTGGAGCCCACTCAGCCAGGAGCCCACTCAGCCAGGAGCTGCTGCCCGCTCCTCCTTCCCCCCTCCTCCTCCCCCTCCTCCCGCTCCTCTCCCTCCTCCCGCTCCTCTCCCTCCTCCCGCTCCTCTCCCTCCTCCCGCTCCTCTCCCTCCTCCCGCTCCTCTCCCTCCTCCCGCTCCTCTCCCTCCTCCCGCTCCTCTCCCTCCTCCCGCTCCTCTCCCTCCTCCCGCTCCTCTCCCTCCTCCCGCTCCTCTCCCTCCTCCCGCTCCTCTCCCTCCTCCCGCTCCTCTCCCTCCTCCCGCTCCTCTCCCTCCTCCCGCTCCTCTCCCTCCTCCCGCTCCTCTCCCTCCTCCCGCTCCTCTCCCTCCTCCCGCTCCTCTCCCTCCTCCCGCTCCTCTCCCTCCTCCCGCTCCTCTCCCTCCTCCCGCTCCTCTCCCTCCTCCCGCTCCTCTCCCTCCTCCCGCTCCTCTCCCTCCTCCCGCTCCTCTCCCTCCTCCCGCTCCTCTCCCTCCTCCCGCTCCTCTCCCTCCTCCCGCTCCTCTCCCTCCTCCCGCTCCTCTCCCTCCTCCCGCTCCTCTCCCTCCTCCCGCTCCTCTCCCTCCTCCCGCTCCTCTCCCTCCTCCCGCTCCTCTCCCTCCTCCCGCTCCTCTCCCTCCTCCCGCTCCTCTCCCTCCTCCCGCTCCTCTCCCTCCTCCCGCTCCTCTCCCTCCTCCCGCTCCTCTCCCTCCTCCCGCTCCTCCCCCTCCTCTCGCTCCTCTGGCCTTGTCTTTGCTGAGTCCCCTCCCACCAGCGTCCTCTGGCTTAAGTGACAGCCATCCATCAGGACTTGGGACAGCCACCGTCCTCATTTCTGCCTGGTGATCTGATCTCCCCAGGACCTCCCCCCCCAGCCCTGCCCCTGCACGGGAACCCGGGCTGTGTCCACACAGATGCACTGAGGACCGCAGCTGCTCTGCACCTCGGCCCCGTGTCACCGCGTCACCAGCCAGCCTCTTCCTGGCACGCCTTCAGGGACCGTGACCGTGCCTGCACCCAGCCTCCCCCCGGCTCCACCCTCGCTGGCCGCGGGGCCCCTCGCCCGTCGGTAGCGTTCCTGTCCGGTGCTGGCATCAGCTGGGCGCATGACAGTGGCGTTAGTTCTCCCCAGGGCCCTGAGCTCGGGGCCCTTGCCCGGTGCCGCCGGCCAGGTCTGCACAGAGAACGCAGGTGTGTGGGTTGCAGCGTCTGGTGGCCCTTGCCATCATCCTGCACACTGGCCCTGAATGCAGCCAGATGCCATGCCAGGTCCTGTTGGCCTCGCAGGGTGAGCCGAGCTGGACTTGGAGTGGCCGAGGACCTAAGCCCGCAGCTAAGGGTTCCAGCGGCCTGCCCAGCCGGGGCCTCGGCGCCCAGGGCTCTGACCCATGACAGCCTGTGACGGGGGCTCCTGTGTACCTGTTCTTGGGACCTCAGCTTTTGGCCGGCTCGTCCTCGAGTCCTTTTCACCCGTTCTCGCCCAGCTGCTCTGGAGCACCTCCCGTGTGCAGGCCCCAGTGTCCCCCGCCACCTGTCCCAAGGCTCTTGGGAATAGAAACATCAGCACTGACCAGCAGCAGGTCGCCGGGCTGGGCACTGGTCGGATGGCGCCAGGCACGGGTGGTGGCGTTTTGGTTTAGGAGGCAGCAGGGGGGATGGTAGTTATGCCGTGTGTGGTCACTGCGCGGTGGCTGTGGCTGGCCTCTCGGAGAGCTGCCAAGCTGGCGGATTTCGGGCAGAGCCACCACCCCCAGGACAGGGAGCGGGGCCCTTGCTAGGTCACTGCTGTGTGCAGGTCAGCTGCATGGGCCTCGCTGGGACCTCCCACGGAGCCCGGGGCTGAGACGGACCCGCGACTTGTCGTCTTGGTGATTGCAGTCGGCTTCAGTGGGGTGTGGCACTCGAATGTGTCGTCACCCCAAACTGCTGTTCCTCCGTGGCCGCCCGAAAGCCACCTCGGGTTTCTGCCGCTTCCCTACGGCCCCGCGTTCCCAGGATCCCCGCAGGCCACACAAAGCACGGCTCTGTGGGAGGGTCACTGCCGGCCACCCTGTCATCCGGGCTGCTAACCTTTTGGCAGCCACCAGCAGACTGCATTCTGCTCTGCTGATGGGGAGGACAATGCCACACTGGCCCTCTGAATGGACGCTGCCACCAACAGTGTCCCATTCACGCTTCGGGAACTGCTGGGCGCATTGTCTGCGGGCGTGGACACCGGAGGCCAGGGGCTCCTGGGGACAGAGCCTGCCTTTCCGGGCTTAATCCCCACGTCGAGCTCCCAGGGGCCACGCTGCCACAGCGTGTGGTGTCAGACCGGGAGCGGTGGCCCATCAGCCTCAGGTCCCGGCCCCAAGAGCTGCTGGTTGGAAGCTCATGTTAGAACTGAGAGGCGCTCAGGGCCATTTGCAACTTTTCCGTAAATGCAAGTTTATTCCAGAATTAAAAGCTTGTTCAAAAACCAGAGAGGCGGGCTCTTTGTCTGAGGTGTGCAAGGCCTTCAGAGGCGTTTGCCCTCCAGCAGCGCCAGCTGTGGGCGCCCTCGGTCCAGCGGGCCGGCCGGCGGGCCATTGGAGGCAGCCACAGAAAGGTGTGTGCAGCGTTAACCACTGCAGCCCGTGGGCTCCTCGGAGTTTTTATTGCAAATAATAATTTTGTATTTTTTGTGCAGCTTATGCCTTCTCTGTTTTTAATCTCTTGTTATCAAAGTTTTATAGAGAAGGCGAACCCCAGTTCATGAAGAGCCTCAGGCTCAGACACGCAGAAGTGGACAGCCCCGGGCCCTCGTGCGGGGGCCACTGCCGCTTTGTGCCTGACGTGGGGCCAGGCCGGTCGGTCTCCCCGACACGCGGTGAAGCTCCGTGGGGAGCATCCGGGATTCAACCCCAAGCGGAGGCCTCAGCTGCCACCGCCCTCCTGCGGTGCCGGCCGCGGGCACTTCCTGCGACCTCTCCGGCTCTCGGCTGTGCAGTGAGGTTTTCTCACCCCAAGGGACAGGGCTGTTCTGTCCCCGCTTCGAGAGGTGGCCTGGCCCCGTTCAACAGAGACATTTTCACATTACAACTGTGAAATCTTGGCGTAAAGCGCCCCGTTGTCCGCCCCCCCATTATTTTCTCACATTACAGCCCATTGTCACCGCGCTGAAGTTAATTTGATCAACATTGGGACATTTAACTTTTATGTCCGGTCAAAAGAGCTGTTTCACGCTCGTTTGGGGCTTTCAGAGGGGACGGGCGCGGGAAGTGCTGGCTCTGGGAACAAGGCAGGCCAATTAGTTTCCCAGGGGGAGGCTGGCGGTGAGGCCCACAGCGCCCTTTGTCACCGCAGGGCGGTCATCAGTCAGCTGTCAGCCCGCTCAAAGGCCCATCTGAATGTGTCTCCTTAGCCGTTCCCAGAACTTGCCTCGCTGCTCTGTGAGTGAAGAAAGGCTGCTGGCCTGCGGGCCACTCACCGCGGGCGGCAGGGGTGGGTG